TTAATTCAGACGTTATGGGTTCTAGATAACTAATACAAATACATACATACATTTTTTAGTAAATAGATCTTACTAATATTATAAACGCGATAGGTGTATGAATATTTGCTACTCTTCCACGGAAAAAGTACTGAACGAATTTTGATGAAACTTTACAGTAATTACAGCTTAAATATCAGAATAACAGCTAGGTAGACCTTGTGGAAATTGTCTACGTTTACATCAATCTAATCCAATTCAGACGCCAACCAGTTTGCTTTTCAAACTGTTTTTTATATTTCAAAATCAAAACGCGGAATTCTGTGACTGTGGATTTATGTTTGTTACTGTTTTACTCAAAAACTACTGAATTGATATTGACGAAACTTTACAATAATATAGTTTATACATGTATAAATTAATAAATAAACCGCCGGCACAGCTAGTAAATAATATACATAGAGAACACCCACACTACGAACAAACTTCAGAATGCAAATATAAACTTTTGCAACAACTGCTAGTCGCAAAAATTCAGTAAAATATTATATATGAACCCTACGAAACGTATATGTAAAAACTGTTCACGAGCAAAGAAAATTCTCGAAAAATCAATATGTCATAGAGACGACGTGTGAAAAACGGAAAAAGCGACAGACAGCCTACAATAATTAAAACTTCCACGAACGGCCGTGTAATGACAATAATGACATTAACGACACGCCACTGACAGCCCGGCCATTTGTCAGCTTTCATTTGTCAGCTGTCATTTGTCAGGTGTTTGTCAGGCGTTTGTCAGCCACAATGGTGTCAGGCGGCGCGGGGACGATTGACGCGTGTCACTGGAACCGGAGGACCTACTGTTGGTTCTCGAACGCGACGCGGCAGGATGTCGCGAGTAAATATCTTAAAAATATTATAATCGCGAAAGTTTATAAGCATGCATGTTTATTACTCTTTCACGCAAAAACTACTGAACGGATTTGGATGAAACTTTACAGTGATATAGCTCACAAGCTGATGCATAGTTCAGAATAACACATAGGTTATATTTTAATTTAACGCGTGTGAAATCGCGTGCACAGCTAGTAATAAATAAGTAAAAAAAAAATTGTCCCCAAGTATGGCACTAAGTTTAGCAAGTTTTTTTATATGGATGATAATGGAATGGTGCATCCGTCTGCGCTAACGGTTTACGCTGGCGGGGCACCAGTATTCCCAAACCTTTTTATGTCATAGACCCCTTGCCATATTTTTCGCTTTAGGGTAGACCCCCCCATTCTTACTTGGTGTTGATTTGTAAATTTCTAACTGTAGTAAAGTTTAGTGTTAAAAACATAAAGTAAAAACAACAAGACGTAGACCACTTGCAGTTTGTCATAGACCCCTTGGTGTTAAGATAGACCAATTTGGGAATCACTGATCTAAATTCCCGAACTATCTAGGTCAGTGTTGATATTCAAAAGATTTCTAGGTGTCAGGGTATTTTTTTATTGGGTTGTTTGGGCTATTGTCAGATGTTTGTAGCACCTGTAGCACTGCGACCTAGATAGATCTATTGTGCTCGCCCTTTTTCAAAGTTCGCTACCTAGACCCGTCAGGGACAAGAATTGAAGGATATTCTTAGGAGCGATGGTTTTTATCTCCTCGGGAAAGAGTATAAACTTTCTAAAGGAGATATTTCGTTTATGCATGAGTGGGCTACAACCACATAGGATGTGTAGTGGCGTTTCCTCTTCAGTTTGGCAGAATCTGCAGATTTTTGTCGTGCATTCGTACTTAAGTGTCAGGGTAGGTCTTCAGGGCAGTCCAATTAAAGAAGTCAATACCAAAAGTATATATAGTATATACCAAAAATATAATAGCAAACATAGCGAATGTAGGTCGCGACAGTAATAATGGAAATCTTTGATTTCTATCTTCGATACCCGGACAGAACCTGGTATTTATGGTCGGAATTATACAGCTAAAACTCATAAAGGACAGACTCCCGCGTAACTTTAGTTCAACTCTAGAACCGGTTGATTCACGTACGTTTCACTAAAGTCAATTGGCTAATGGAAATATATTAGGCACATTGATTTTAGAAGCAAAAGTGTAATCCATCACATTTAAAATAAGTAATGTTGCTAAGTAACGGTTGATATTTAACGTGCAACTGATCGGAACGAGAATAAATTATATTTACTGCTGTATATGTGTGATCCACTGAATATCTTCAATCCATCAAGGAAGCGTTATAGGTTCAACTACAATTAGTGTTTAATATTTTAACGAATTTAATTTTGGATATATTTTTGCTACTATTGTTCTATTGTTTACTCTTCTGTATATTGTTTTATATTATGTATGTTATTTAAATGTAGAGATGTAGAGTGTCCCAAATGTATTGGATTAAGGGACCGTATTAGGCACATTGATTTAAGAAGAAAAAGTATAATCCATTATATTTAAAATAAGTAATCATGTTGCTGAGTAACAGTTTATATGTAACGTGCAACTGATCGGAACGAGAATAAATTATATTTACTACTGTATATGTATCCACTGAATATCTCCAAAATATATTTTTTGGATAGACAAAGCATTAAATTCTGTATATCATGCTAACGTAACAAAGAATTTTAAATAAAATTAATAATGACTAGCTGTTCCTGCGACTTCGTCCTAGTGGAATTTAACTTTATTTTTCTAAAATAAAAGTAGCCGCAGTTTCCCGTTATTACATCAGCTACCTGCCAATAAAAGTCCCGTCAAAATTGGTGTAACCATTTCAGAGATTAGCCGGAAAAAACAGACAGAGAGACAAAAATTGAAAAAATGTTATTTTGGTGTATTTAATTCATATGCATGTAGTAAAAAATGGTTATTTCAATGCTACAAACAGACTCTCCAATTTTATTTAAATGTGTAGATAAGAAAAAAACTCAATTTCTATCAATCCGCCGTAGTATAACTAAATTGATAATTTAATTGTATAAATACCAATATTATTTTATTATACGTCTTAATCATCATCATCATCATCGCAGCCCGGAAGACGTCCACTGCTGGACATAGGCCTCCCTCAAAGATCTCCACGTCTTAATATATAAGAAAAAATACAATTGAAATTAAAATTTGTTATGAGAATAAATAGATAGTCCTTTGCGCGTAGCAAAGTAGTAATAAAAAAATGTGACTATTCAAAAGTGCTTATATTAAGTTTATTTGAATAAAAATTATTTCTATTTCTATACCGCCAGAAGACGTAGAATAGAAAGAATAGAAAACATTCCTAAAAAAGATTTTTAAAATGTAGGTTGATCGTGCTCAATCTTCATCCTTATAAATCTTTGTTACGCTTCCACGCTACACTAAACTAAACTACTGAACCGATCATCATGAAATTTTATACACAAGTTCTTGGAGGTGTTAAAATGAACATAGGATACTTTTTAACAAAATATCAACATTTTACTACTTCAGCGCCACCTAGCGGCCAGTTATGAAGTTTATGAGTGTAGATGGACGTTTGTTACACTTTCACGCGAAACTACTGAACGGATTTTAATGAAACTTTACAGTAATATGGCTTATGCATCAGAATAACATATAGGCTATATTTTTTATTGATATTTAACGCGGGCACAGCTAATATTATAGAATAGAATAGAATATAAAATCATTTATTCAAATAAACTTACATTGAAGCACTTTTGAATAGTCATCACATTTTTTAATCTACCGCTCATTCGGAAAGCTGTCTCATCACAAGACGAACGAGCAAGAAACTTGTGTGTTGCTCTGCTATATGTTTTACAAAACAGACATTACCGCAACTCCATTTGCAAATGACGAAAGAAGTTTTTTCCTAATACAACGTGTCGTCATGCCACTTGTTCGATGTAATCTGTCAATGTTTCCTTGTTTCTTTCTTCTTTATAAATCTGGTTAATAATTTCATATTAAAGTCTTGAACGCCTTGGTAAATAAAAGTGTGCTCCAATCGAGTAGGTAGGAACGAAACATTAATAATCTTATGAGTCACTATACGTTCGTCCTTCACCCGTCTTGCCGCGTCACCTTCATAACTAAACCAAAGCAATTTTTAATCAAATAATCGATACAAATATTATAAATGCGAAAGTAACTCTGTCTGTCTGTCTTTCTCGCTTTCTCGCCAATACTACCGAACCGATTCAAATGAAATTTGGTACACATGTAGTCCAGACAATGAGAAAGGACATAGGCTTTTTTTTGCGAATAAAGGGTTTTAATGGTTTAAAAGGGTAGATGAAAGGTTGTATGGACGTATCGTCATTTTTAAGGCTAGAAGCTTGAAACGTATTTTTAGGCTGTTGATTACATATAAATAAAAATAACGTTCAAAGTTTTCAAAAATGTTACTCTTAAGGGGGTAAATAAAATAAGGGATGAATGTTGGGTTAGATTATTGAATATTTTTTCTTTATTTGGTTAGAACTACTGTAACACGCGGACGAAGCCGCGAGCACAGCTAGTAAAAAATAATTCCCGAATTTACCATGACTCCTCTAAGCTCCACCAATTTGATTAATCCTTTCTTGGATATGCTTGTAAAACTTGAAATAACATTTTATGTATTTGAAAATGTTTTAAAGTGTGGAAGGTAGAGACAGTTGGTAGCTAGTAGTTGTAACTTCATGGCTTATTCAAAAACAAAAGAATTCTGCAACAACTCCATTAATCGAGTGATAGATCGCTTCATGCAAATCCGAGTAGCGACGAAGTTCCGCAGTAATGAGCCCCCATAGTGAGTTGCATACATTATCGATCATCACGAAACAACTATGCCGTGGCTAAATAATTCTCATTCGAAGCGTATTTATTGCCCTAGTTACCAGTACACTGACGGCCTCGGAGACGTCACAGTTAATATCCATGCACCACGCGATTAACGAGTTATTTCCACCCTGCGACGATGTCACCACCCCGGCCCGCCCGGCTAAAACCATCAATCTTATCTGCAACTTGCATTTAATATGCATGCAACTTTCCAGATGCTGTCACCGCGCGACGACGATGACGACGATAGTCATCTCTGCATCAAGTGCAACGCCACCATCATTGGCCTTGACAACTACGTCAAACACAGAAAGCAGAGATGTCAGAAGAAAAATGCTACTTCGAAGTCTGACATTCCAAACATCAATCCACTGGAACCCACCTACAGTCTTGGAGCCGACGTCTTCTTCCAGTCTTTGGAGTTACAGAGTAGTGTTAAGAAATCTACGTTGGCTAGACTTACACCACCTATATCCGCTTCCAAAGTAGTTATAGACCCAAAAACCACGCTAGCTGAAGCCTCAACTTCTAGGGACCTACCAAGAATGAGTCCTCTAGAGAGTAACCTAGGCGGAGAAGACTGGATTGGTGGCCATAGTTTAAGAATAGGTATGAACGAAGATAATCAGACAAAATTAATAAATGCAGTGGCCAGTATTAGTGGCACAGTCAAGAAAGATGTTCCAACTACCTCTTATAATATAGAAGGGTTTAACGACTTTAAAGCAGATGAAGATTTTGAGGACTCGGAAGATTCAGAGGATGATGATGATGACGAAGCTCATGCTGCTGGAGGCAAGTGGAAACCTCCACCAAATTATACGGGAGGAAAATGGCGACCTGCATCACCTGAACATGAAGACTGGGATATAAGAGATGAACAGGAGCATATGGGTGGTAAATGGAAATCCTTTATTACAAATGAACGTGATGATGATTATGATGCCCCACCACCAGGGCACACCAAAGGTAAATGGGTACCTGGTGCACACGAAAAAACACAAATAATGCAACCAACTATACAGACAAAGGGAACAGTACAATACTGGTGCGGACCTTGCAACCGACGCTTAGGTTCAAAAGCTATATATGATAAACATTTAATGTCAAGCCTACACATGAGAAAAGTACTGCCGGAACATGAATTGGAATTCTCTGGACATTTGGAATCCTTGAAAAATGTGGTGGAAAGACGTGCCATTCGTCCAACACGATTTTTGAATAGCACTCATTCACAAAGAAAGAAGTCACGCCTGTCGGGAAAATTCAATATGAAGATTCAATATAAAAAAAAAAAACGAAAATCTCTGTTCGTACATTGCTGTGGATGTAAATCTCGCGTGAAACAACATCTAATGGGAAAGCACTTGATATCTCATTATCATTTCAGAAAAGCCAGTGATACACAAAGTAGTGTATATCAGCAGTTGATTCTAGATAATATAGATGCTATTGTTCATCAGTCACCATTTCAATGTAGCCCGTGCAAATTTTATACTAACTGGCTCTCAAATTTTATGCAGCATTGGTATTCTGAAGAACATGAGCAGAAAATGGCTGCAACAGATGGTAGATACTGGTGCTCGTTTTGTAAACACGAATGTGAAACATCTCAAGAAATGTCACAGCATATGTCGAGCTTGGAGCATAGTGAAGTGGTTGCAGTTATTAATAGATCAATGCCTATTATTATACGAAAGAAAAGCGTCTTGAGATGCCAAACTTGTAATCTGGAATTCCGATATAACATTGAGATAAAACGGCATTGTCAGAAAACTGGACATACCTTGGCTTATACGGCTACTGAAAACTATCAAGACCTTCATAAATGTCAGCACTGTAAAGTTAAATTTAAATCTTCATTGTCACTCGCTGCACATTTGAAGACTATACATAAACAAAAAGCATTTTTTTGTTTGGTCTGTTCAAGGTCTTTTAACACCTCAGAAGAAGCGAAACATCATCGTCAAACATCAGAACACAGAATAAGAAAGAAAGAGATATTAAAGGAAAAAGGTTTGATTTCGAAAGATTTGACTAAAAAGTGTCCACACTGCAAAGACGAATTATTTTTAAAGAATATCTTGGAACTAAAGGATCATATTAGAAGAGTGCATCCACACATTAAAAGAAAGCAAGTACTTTGTATTGTATTTATACCAAATAAAAATATTTTTAGTATTTAGGTCATACTTACTTATATAATTTATTTTTTCAGATGCCCCAAATGCGGTATGTCGTTTGTATTATCGCAAGAAGTTACCCGTCACATCAGAAACAATGCTTGCCAATTTCATAGTGTCAGTCCTCCAAACGCTTCCATAATATGGAACTGCAGTCAGTGCATCTTCACAACTGACTCGCAGGCCGAGTGTTTTTTTCACGAAGTCTTGCATTCAGACCCTATCCAAGATGTCCGCAAAGTCGGCAACAAAGAAAAAGTGTATGAAAAGTATTTTTGCCCGATTTGTCAAAAGGCATTTAAAAAAGCGTCTTTACGGGAGCATTTGAGATTACACACGTCTGAAAGACCATTCGTCTGTGCTACATGCGGAGCCAATTTCACTAGATTGACCAGTTTAGTTAATCATAACAACAGTCAGCATAAGTTAGAGACATCTGGTGCCCAAACTTCACAGGCAGAGGTTACAGACAGTGTTGATACGAAGACATTAGACTGGAAGTGCGGTAAATGTCCGAAAAGCTTCGCCAACAGGTGAGTGCAATAATTCTAATATAGATCATGTTTATCCATATCACTGATCTCCAGACTCGTGTCGGGAGAACGCAAGTGCATTAGAAATAATATGCGGTGAGTAGCTGCCATTAATTTGCGATAAAGAGGCGCGTGCGCAGCGGATGCGTGCATGTCACCTGTCTCACAACTCCTTCACAAATATCGGGAAACATTCATAATTTGACAAGACCGCTTTGATTATGCGGCGGCGTGCGACATGTATACCACTGACGCTGTGTTGCCAGCGTTGACGTTTTTATACGTCGAGGCAATAAATTCATGCCCGGATGCCCGGTATTTTGAGCACTGTTGGATCAAAATATTAGTCAGAAAGATGGTGACATTTGAGTTTTATTGTCGGCACGTGTTGCCGTGTAATGTATTACGGATTTGCAGTATCATCGTTCGATTTGAATCGCAGTCGGTTTGTTGTTGTATGCTATCGTAATGAATTAGTTGAGAATAACTACTTAAATATATTCTGGATTATAGCACCGCAGTAATTTCGAATACGACACGTGGAAATAGTTCAGGAGACTCTTTGAACTAGTCTGATCCTTTGACGAAATGCATGATTGCATGTTTTGTTTTTTGTAGATATAAAATACGCTATTTACATGTGAATAACATAATAAATTCAATTATCTTGTCTTAACTGTAGTGTAAGCGATATGAGGATATTTTTTTCTATTTCATTCACACGTTAACTTACATTGTCAAAGTTTTCATACGGATCCCTGATGTTTTGGAAAATATTCTATCGATTATATTAATCAGGGATGTAGGATTCTAATGGTAGAAGAATTTTTGATTTCACTCCTGAAGTTTCGGAGCCTATTCATTGCAAACAAACAATCATATCTTTTCTCCATATGTATAATACTAGTCGTGATCAAAGAAAATCTATAAGTTAGTAATTATAAAAAAAAATGATTACTGTGTGGCAGACTCTGAATTTAATTCAAATTTAAAATTCATAAATCATTTATTCATGTAAGACATTTTAGCCACTTATGTACGTCAGATTATTTAAATTATATTTTTTTCCTACCGTTCAAATTTTCGATTATTAACTAAGAACTCTTCATTACTTAATATAAAATAAAGTCGCTGTCGCTGTCTGTCCGTCTCTATCTATGCTTAAAATCTTTAAAACTACGCAACGGATTTTGAATCGGTTTTTTTTTTATAGATAAAGTTATACTAGAGGAAGGTTTATATATATAATACATGTACACCCAGGCGAATCCGGGGCGAGTAGCAGGTGCTTTATAAATTTTTAAACTATTATACGATTATCTTCAAGCACTGTAATTTCAAATAGGATCTATGCATCGTCGTTTCCGATGGCAATATTCCGTAGACAGAGAAAGTCATAAAATAGAAATTTTGGCGCATCTTCAGGTGTAGGTAGGGGCCAGTAATTATGTCTGAAGACGTTCTTAGCCACTAGAGAGTTAAAAAAATGACAACATTTTAGAGAGACAGGTATTGTATTACTAACATTGACATACAATATTTTTAATATAGAACTGAATATCTTCAACTATCTAGCGGAATATATTTTCCCAACGATAACCTTTCGCTTAAATCATAGTACTCATAACGGATCGGTGGACTGTATGGATGTCTAAATGATGAAAACAAGTAGTTTGGAATAATAATATATTAATATGTACAATTGCGAACGACAATGATAGAATAATTGAAATGTATCAAAAAACATGACGTATAAAAAGAACTGTTCTAAAAATATAGATTTAAAAATAATAAAAGTATCAAAAGAGGTTGCGGCGGCCAGTCGCCAACAGTACTAAAAACTATGCATATAGTATTTTGTTAAAATTCTATCTGTATTATAATAGCGAAAGTTTGTTAGAACTGATTAATCTTTCACGCAGAAACTGCTGGACGGATCCGAATGTAATTTTTTACTCAAATACATTAAATTATAGGATAAATCTCAACGACCGGTGGTCTAGCGGTCTAGCACACCGCTTTACGACCGATGGTCGCGGGTTCGATTCCTCGCACGGCACGAACATTTGTATTCATGAGTATGTTATAGTTATAGTTATATTGTTTATTGTTACTGTTATAGTTATATATATATTATATATACAACTAGCTGACTCCGCAAACGTTTTTCTGCCATATATATAAAAATCGCTATTAAAAATTAGCCTATTATAAAATTATATATACTATATTTTATTATATATATTTACCTATATTAGGTAAAATTATAGGTTAGTCCTTTCCCACCACTGCCCATCAACCGCTTTCTGTTCTTACCTAATGGTTATAGAGAATGCCATATGGCATTAAGCTCGCCAACTTGTATTAAATAATAATTGATAATAAATTTAGAACATTATTTAATTTGTTGAATTTTAAATATTTTTTTTCTCAAATATTGGACATTTCAAAGTCATATTGTTAACTAGCTGTTCCCGCAACTAAAAGATTTTTAAAAAAATAAAAGTAAGCTAGGTTACTCCTTATTACATCAGCTACCTGTCAAAAAAGTCCCGTCAAAATCGGTCCAGTCATTTCAGAGATTAGCCGGAATGAACAGACCGACAGACAGACAAAAATTGTAAAAAATATTATTTTGGTGTATACCATATTTATATTCATAGGCATGTAGTAAAAAACAGTTATTTCAATATTACAAACAGACACTCCAATTTTATTTATATGTATAGATTGCACATGTGTTACCCACTCACTAACAGTTATGTCTGTTGGGTTGACTGGTAGAGATCTCTTTTGGAGATATCCACCTTTACTCACTCTGTATATATTTAAGTTTACTAATCTATTTAAAAGTGCAATAAATATATATATATAATTCAGATTAGATTACACAAACAGTATCAACAAGAGTTAATTCCGGCCACAAACCGCATGAATCAACTCGACGCCTCTATTGCCAGAAGTTTCAGCATATCTAGACAATTGCAGAACATTCTGGAGCCATTGGGGCCGTCTAACCCTGCTGATGATCTAACTTGCCTAATATCTTATACGTTATTGCCAGGACTTGCATTAATGCAGTCGCATTTGAGGCTGTACTTAACACGGTAGATCGTCCAGTTGTTTGCAGTTCGGACGTTTAAGAACATGCCAAAAAGTTATGTAGTTTGAAACGTACATTTTTGTCAACAGTTTTGCAGTTGCAACATACAGACAAAGTAATAATGTACCTTCACAACTGTAATCACGTATATGGATAGACAGAGTATTTTTTTAATGGTTGATGATTAATTGGTGATGATGATGAGATGATTGAATAGTGCCCCGTCCTGTGATTTATGCTGAATACCAGTGCAGGCTGATAAGATAAAAGTCAAATCAGTTAGCTCATCGTGAATTCACCAGAATTTTACAATGATGGTGTATAAATAGAAAGTAATGGGGTTATTAGAACATACTTATTTCTAGCAACCCCCTATACTCATGAACAGAAATATTTGTGCCGTGCGAGGAATCGAACCCACGACCATAGTCGGTGGTCTAGTGGTTTAGCACACGTAAAGCGATGTGCTTAGAAATGGTAGAGCATCCAGGTCTTGGCAGTTTGGACGTTCAATATTTTTGTCATGCAGTTTCCAACATACAGACAAAATAATAATGTACTTTCCCAACTGTAATATATAATAATCTCAGAACAATTCACACAGCGCCATCTAGACCCAAGTTAAGCTAGCTAAACCTTGTGTTATGGGTACTAAATAACTGATACAAATACGTTTTATTTTTTCGTAAATACATACATATTATATATAGAAAACACCCAGACCGATGCAAACAATCATACTCATGAATATAAGTGTTTGTGCCGTGCGAGGAATCGAACCCGCGACCGTCGGAAGTAAGGCGGTGTGCTAACCCACTAGACCGCTGAGGTCGTCGATTTTCACAACTGTAATCGCGTATATAGATGGCCAGAGTTTGTTTTAATGAAGATGATTGCATAGTACCCCCAACTGCGCAAACGGCTCACGCTGGATACCAGCGGATGATAAGATGAGCATAAACTCAGATCTAATTGATCTTGAGCCCGTTGTGATAAATCACCCATTTCAGTGGACGTTCGCTCATTTATATTTTGCTAGCTTTTGCCCGCGGCTTCGCTCGCGGTAATTTATCCCCTAAGGGGTGGATATTATCAAAATCCTTTCTCAGGGAACCCCTACGTCATTGTAGCTTTATGCATGCAAATTCTCAGCCCGGTCAGTTTAAAATTGACAAAGTTTCATACAAACTTTCATCCCCTATTTTATCCCCTTGGGGATAGAATTAATCATAATCCATTCTTACGGCCCATCTGATGGTCACCTACTCTATAGGTTCTCTTCCAAAGGTTGTCTGTAAGAGATTGCATTAGCGATAAGACCGCCTTTTGTCCTTAGTTTTATTTTTTTTATGTTTTTAATTTTGTTTGTATAACATTGTATGTTGGTGCAATAAAGTGTTATAAATAAAAAAAATCACCAGGATTTTACAATGATGTTGTGCAATGAAAGTAATGGGGTTATTAGACCATATTACTAGCAACCCCTCATGATCAGAAATGTTTGTACCATACGAGGAATCGAACCCACGACCATAGCCATATGGTCTAGTGGATTAGCACACGTAAAGCGATGTGCTAAACCGCTACACCATGGGGGCCGTCATAAATAAGTGTACCATATTAGTCAGTCAGCAATATTCATTTATACCCGATATTTACATTGCTAGCTATTCACTAGGTCTCAATAATAGCAAGTTTTTATGTACAAGTAGTGTTACTATAAAAATTATTTTAATTGAATTAAAAAGCGTTTATTATTATACTAATTTTTACATATGGTTATCTTAATCTATACATACAAATTAAATTGGAGTGACTGTTTGTAATATTGAAATAACCGTTTTTTACTACATGCATATTAATATAAATACGGTATATACACCAAAATAACATTTTTTACAATGTTTATCCGTCTGTCTGTCTGCCTATTTGTTCCGGCTAATCTCTGTAATGGCTGTACCGATTTTGACGGGACTTTTATTAGCAGGTAGCTTATGTAATAAGGAGTAACATAGGCTACTTTTATTTTATAAAAATAAAGTTAAATAGTTAGTGTTATGTAAAATGTAACATTAGTTACATTTTATATAACACTTTTTATTAAAACATATGCCATTAACGGTACAGCTTGTTTTTCGACATAGGCATCCTCTAAAGATTTCCATTCTGTCCTGTCCTTTGCTTTACGAGCCCATATTGAACAAGTTATTTTTCTAATATCATCTTCCCATCTCATATTCTGTTTACCTCTACTTCTTTTACCACCTCGTGGGTAACATTCCGTTATTATTCTTCTCCATTTCTCTATTCTCTTATCATGTGACCTATCCGTCTCAACTTTAGCACTTTATAAGTTTTTAACGCATTCTTAAAATTTGTTTTGTTTAATTATTTTTAGTTTCACTCGATCTTTTCTTTTTAAGTCTATTATACTTCTGTCCATACCATTTTGATATTTTTTTTTGTTTTATTAGATTTCTGTCAACGCCAAGGTCTAACATATAGACAAAAATTATTTAATTAATTAGTAGTAAATAATTTTTATTTCTTTGCCTTCATAGGCATTTCTTTGTTCTTCATGAGTGTGACTATAGTGATGAATAAAAAAATTGTCTATCCATATCTCTAATTAAACACAATTCCAACTGCGCTCCGTAACAACAATATGCTAACGAGACAAAAGAAATGTATATGAGCGAACTATTGTATGTAGTCCAGTGTTACATTCCCGTCCGCTGCAAACTAGCGCTGAAGGAATTTCTTGGCTGCTGTCCACCGCTGTAATTGGACATTTGAATGCTAGATGTGGCGCTTTATTTACATTTTTATGTGGTGTCTCCCTAACTAAATCTAATTCATCGTGGTCAGGAACATACTTATCTGGGAGTAACACAACATTTCTGGCTTAAAAAAGAACATATTGTTAGTTTGTCGTTTGTTTTTATTTCCGAGTAAGAGGAAGTCAACTGTATTTTTATTTGTATTTTCGTTTATTACGCAACTCATAATAAACGAAAATAGAGCGAAATTTCGGCGTTTCTAATTTTTTCTTGAACCGAAACGTTTCGCTCTTCAAGTATAGATGGCGCTGTATTTATTACTATAATTTTTATTTTCACTTTGTTTATAACCATATATGAATTAAATTATTGTTATAATGAGTTGTGATCATTGTTTTGAATACTTACTAATGTAAAGGAAGGAATCATAATATAAAAATACTAGAAGTTTGTTGGATGTTTACCATAAACAGCCAAAGAATGTACCAGTGATGGATGAAAAAGATTAATGAATTTAATATGGTCGTAAGACCTTACCAAATGTATTATTACTAAATATATATTTATTATTATATTAACTATTGTCTAATTTCAGAACGACCCTGCGGAAACACGAATCAAAATGTGGCAATATGGGTCAAAAATGTCCACACGATGAATGTACTTATGTATCATCCAATTTATCCAGGTATGTTTTTAATTTTATATGTTGCAATCATAATAGTAAAATATTTAAGATCATTTTTTTAAACAAATATAAATTTGTGATTACTGCCATCTAGCGGTCATCGTGATAACTATATATATATAGCAGGTTGATTGTTCCAACTATGCTTAAAAATAACTTTACATTAGTTTTATTCGCAATGGAAAGATGGCGCTGTACATATTATTTGTGATAAAATTATGACAATAGATACTTTTAATTTTTTTTTTCTTCGACTATGTTATTTCTTTTCACTTTTATAGACATCGGCGAGCTCATGGGGATGAAGTGAATAACCATCAGTGTCAACTATGCACGTTTAAAACGAATCACTCGAGCCACCTGAAGAGGCATATGCTATGTCACAAGGGAGTGAAACCTTATGGTTGTCCTCACTGCCAATTTATTTGTGGTAGTTTGGTAAGTAGATAACAGATGGCGTTGTATATACATAAGTCACTATATCTACATTATGAAATCATTGTTAAAGATTCTTATTTAGTACAGATTATAGTGTACAAGTTAAGGGATTATGTATTGATTATGTCACTTTTTACAAGTTAGATTTTAACTGTCAGTTTCGAATAATAATAATAAAAACGGAAAATTATAGATTGTAACCGGTTTTTTTCGAGAATTGTTAGCAACTAAGTTAAGCCCCAGTAACAATAATGTATACTTTTTTCTTTACTGAATCGTCTTTAGAGCCAATAGGCACTGACAAGAAAATCAGCTGTTACGCTTCTCAAATGAGCTTGTACGATTACATAAATCAAAAATACAAATTCATTTGTTATTTTATTATTCTGTTCTGCATTTAACTTAGCCTAACTTAAAAAATAGTGCGTTTTTTATTATTATTTCTTTATATTGAAGAAGCATTTTTAGGCTCATATTTGGAAATTATAAGTGGTTTTTTGTTTTTTATTATTAGTTTTTAAAGGAGCATATCCGAGTCTCATAATTGGGAATAATACTTTTTGCTTATTGAAGGAGAACCTCCACAGGCACTAGTCCCTTTTTATTAAAAGAACATATCCTAGGCCCATACTTGAGAATTATAAGTGGTTTTTCGTTTTTTTATTAAAGTCTTTTAGTAAAAGAGCATACCCTAGTCCCATACTTTTGATTATACTTGTTTTTTTTTTATAACTTAAAGGAGAACCTCCGTAAACACTGCCGGCGGCTGCACCCCGGGCAGCCACTCTACCGGTGCGGTCACTGCGAGTTCCGCAGCGACCTCGCCGCACAGTTACGTCTGCACCTCGCCACGGGACACCCGGACCAGTACGACACACACGCAGCACTCGCACACGTCAAGCGACACCTCATGACCCCGCAGTATAAGAAACAAACCGATGTCGAACAGTGGCGTAGTTAGGTAACCAAGGGCTCTGTGGCAAATAAAAAAATGGGGCCCTACAATACAGTTTTATTAAAACATAAACATATTGATTGAACACTGCCAACCCACAGAAAGAATTTAGGGGAATTCCGAAGGTATAACTTCCGAATTTCTCTCAACTGAGTTGCCATGATTAAAGTCGTGTTGCAACTTGTCATATTTATTTTGAAAATGGAAGAAATTTTCAAAAGTTCACTTCGATCGTGATTTTCTGGTAAAGGTTCGAAGGCCCCCTGAGCTTGAGGGCCCCGGGGCACTGCCCCGCCTAGCACCTAGGTAGCTACGCCACTGATGTCGAATTAACAGCCTCGTTGATCTAGCGATTTTCGACACAGATAAGAATTTTTTTTTATGGATGATAAAGAAATGGTGCACCAGCCTGCGCTAACGGTTTACGCTGGCGAGGCACCAGTGAAGAATGATAGAATGAACATGAGGTCAGGTCAGTTAGCTCATGACAAATTCACCAGGAATTTATCACGATGGTTTCAAGGGGGAACCGCGTGGAGGTCAACCTGACATGGTACATTGCAATAAGATCATCAGTCCACATTACTAACAATCCCCTTTCCCCCAGATATTATAATTGATACTAGATACTACCACAGATAATATAATATATATATTTCTACACTACTAGATATTTCTCAGTTCAGCCAAATCTGGTAGCAGCCTGTCACTGCAGCTTTAGATACACGTTCTAGAATAAAACTATATAATACTAGCTGTACCCGCAATTTCGTCTGCGTGGAATTTAACTTTATTTTTCTAAAAAGTAGTCTAAGTTACTCCTTATTACATCAGCTACTTGCCAAAAAAAGTCCCGTCAAAATCGGTCCAGCTATTTCAGAGATTAGCCGGAACAAACAGACAGACAGACAAAAATTGTAAAAAATATTATTTTTGTGTATGTACCGTATTTATATTCATATGCATGTAGTAAAAAAACGGTTATTTCAATATAACAGATACTCCTATTTTATTTATATGTATAGATTATTTTATTTGTTTGATTTGATACCCTTTTGGTATATTTTACTTTATTCTTTGGATGGAATTTACTGCAGTTCTATACAGGTCAAGTTTTAAGATTGTAGAAATTTCGCTAGTATACCGCTTGCTAGTATCCACTACCTACCTACTTCTGGTTAATTCGTTTATTAGTTCATTAAAAGCAATTACATATTTCAATGATGTTTGTTTGAATTTATTTAATTGCTTTTAGCGATTACTAGACTAAGTAGTAGTTTTTTTTTTTAAGAAATACAGGGTTATTTATGTCCTTGTACCTTGTACTTAATTGCTAAGTAAGTAATTATTAGTTTTAAGATTTAAATGTATTAATAACAAGCCTAAGAAAATAAAAGTAACTAAAACATAATCATTTCGTCTGTCATTCAAAAGTTTATGTAATTGTAACTCGTGTAGCTATTATTATATTTGATGTAACATTCCAAAGAGTAAAATATCTACACTTAATTCACAACATATTAAAGCGAAGTGGTTACACGTTGTAATAAAACATTAATTTACTGTCATTATTTATATTCACAAATATTCTGATAGATTTTCTTATCTTATTATGTTTACCGCCATCTAACAGTATCAAAGCAATTCATTATAAAATACTGAAAAATTCAGACTATCATATATAGATGGCGTTAGTAGTAAGATTACGAAGGGTAAAGCAACACTATTGAATTTACATCTATATACACAATATACACAATCTAAATTTGTATATAATAAAACTTATATCTAGAATTAACAATATTAGCGGAAATTAGAAAATTCTATTTTAGGTTACACTTGCTTGTTTATTATTTTTTCATATGGCAAGTTTTGGCTGTTTCCAATTGTCAACTTGACAGCTTGTTCCAACTTCTGCCACAACCCACCAACCAATCAGAGGCAAGTCGTGTGCCTACCCAAGCGAACGTATAGCGAGGGAAAATAAATATTCTGCCGAAAGGTATCGACTACGCGTAATGTTCTTAGTGGTTTTCTCTGTATTATAATCGATCAACCGCCCAAAAATAAATACAAATATTTTCTTATAAGAACGGCTGAGCTGTTTTAAATTAATTAAACTGTTACATAATTAACTTGTGTAAGTTTGGTGTAAGACGATATATATTCTCGCAAATCGTGTGCAGTGTGAAATTTTGAACTGAATATTATGACTGATTGTTTACACGTTTCGTAAGCTGAAAATCTATTGAAATTCACAATGTCCTTGAAGGTGAGTCTTTGAAATATTTATTTTCATTTATTGTAATTCTTAAAATGTTTGTATTCTACAATAAATTATATTATTTGATAATTACATTGTAGAATGTATTCAATTTTATTTTTTCATATTATATATGCAGTAGGTAGGGTTGTATCCTGATTATCATATTTAGTACCTGGGTAGAATAGTACTGCATGATTGTAATATTCAGAGTAGCTGATTTATTATTTTTTCTTATAATATATAAAATTCTCGCGTCATAGGTTTCGTGTTTATACTCCGAAGCTTGGTTTTGATAAAATTTTATATGTATATTCAGTAGGTCTGAGAATCCGCTAGTATCTATTTTTCATACCCCCAAGTGATAAGGGTTGTCCACCAATTTTACTTTTTATAACGCAGCATTAAATAATATATACAATCCTAAATTTTCACCCTTCTGTCATTCAGCACTTAGGGGTATATATATTAGTTATCCCTAAGTGTTAAGGGTCGCTTTATTTTTTCATTTTTGGCGCGACAGCTAGTTACTTTATAATATTTTGAATTTGCTTATATAAAAATATTGCTTAATATTTTACTAGCTGTGCCCGCGACTTCGTCCGCGTGTTATAGTAGCTCTATCATATATTAGTATTTAATAAAAATAAAACAGCCTTAAAAATAACATTCAATTTTCTAGCTTCAAAAATGACGATTCTTCCATACAACCTTTCATCCCCCTTTTTAACCCCTTACAACCCTTTTTGCGCATTAAAAAGTCCTTTCTTAGGGTTTAGACTATCTGTGTACCAAATTTCATTAGAAATAGAAATAGAAATAATCTTTATTCAAATAAACTCATTACAAGCACTTTTGAATAGTCAGATTTTGATTCTACCACTCATTCGAAATGTAGATTGATCACAAGAAGAATGAGCAAGAAACTTGTGTGTTTCTTGTGTTGCTCTTCTCTGTTTCATTGCTCTTTTTCTTCATTTAAATTGGTTCAGTAGTTTTGATGTGAAAGCGAGACAGGCAGAATTACTTTCGCATTTATAATATTATAAGTATGGATTATCTTGATGTTATTATAATGATAGGTGATTGATTTATTATCAACAGGTAGATATACTAATGAAATTTTATTTAATCATTTGTCTATTTATAGAATATATTTGCTTTATTATTGAGTAAATAATTTGTATTTGATTTTATACTGTAATAACAAAGATATGTTTTTATACAAACCTTTAATATTTTATTATTATTGTGTTGATTGTACAAATTACAAGTATAATAAGGAATTAAGTTATGACTACACACAGTATGAGAAATATTTTAATATGTCACCATGATTTTCTGTGATATCCTTTCTGTATTCTGTATTTTGAAATATTTTATGTGGCGCAATGTTTTTTTATGTTGTCAGATCTATATCTAGATTCTCAATCTATCGGATATTCTCTATTTCTTTCTTCAAATACATGTAGGTACCATGTGGATTACCAAGTTCCATCATGTGGACCATTCACTAGTTTACTACTTGGCTAACAAAGAAACAGAACAGTATTTATTGACTCATACAATGAGAATGCCAAAAACAACAATTTACACACATTACATGTATACCTTACAGTCAATTTGTAAGAATTAATTTCTTCCAAACTGACTCTGTAATAAGATTAAAAAACATATATGAACAAGCAAAACTTGTTTTCTTTCTTATTCATATCATGACTACTTTCTTTATGTTGATACTAGAAAGAAAATATTATTTTCTTAAAATATACAAGCATTATTATTATTAAAATCAATAAGACTCTTTTGATTTTTAAACTTTATCTTAGTATTAATAATATCTTTAAAGTAATTACTAATAACTTTATTATAATTGTTACAAGTACTATAGGTAAAGCTATCTTCAAAAAGATATACAATCTTTTATTATTTTTTGGAGAATTTATTTATATATGAATTAAAAAACTTTAAACATGTGTTATAGATTTTTTATATGTAGTGATGTCAAATTTCACATTGTTATTTTGCTGTTTTGTGTAATCCTGACCTATCAATGAGTATAGGTATTTAATCTATTCTAAATTAGTTGTGAAAATGAAAATTCTAGAACCCAATTATGTCTTTTCAACTATCTCTTCTCCAAACTTATCTTATTCATTCTTTATGTGATGAGTTTGCATTCCAATGAATAGTAGGATAAAAAAATATATGTAGAAAATGCTGCTTATCCTATTTATTGGGAGTAGCGTAATATGTTTTTCTCTTCCATTCATCCCTGCTCGCAGTCATCTCGTTATTCACTCCCTTTCTTACCATATCATCTTTCACACAGTCCATCCATCTCTTTTTCGGTCTTCCTCTACCCTTATAACCATCCACATTCATTCACGGGTGCACCATTCCATTATATTAATAATATTATAAACGCGAAAGATTGTGAGTATGGATGTTTGTTACTCTTTCACGCAAAAACTACTGAACGGATTTTAATAAAACTTTACGGTAATATAGATTACACATACATATAAAAAATATAGGCTATAAATTCCACTCACAACAAAGGTCGACTTATCAATAGAAGAGATCTCTTCCAGTCAACTCAAAATAGTGGTACGTAAAAATTAGTGCAAAACATAAATACAATATTTTAAAAGATATTATCTAAATTGGGCGAAATATAAAGATAAATGACATGTATGTGTGGTGCAGACGAAGTTGCGCTGGTCAGCTAGTCATACATACAATCAAATCGTCTTTGTATGCAATTTTTTATTAATATATCTGCTAGATTTTTTTTCTCGGCCGGTGTAGGTATGTAGGTTATATTTAGCTCGGCGGGGTCTGAACTCAAACCAGTCTGGATGGAGTCAGTGAACCGCGCATCTGGCGCCATCGTGACATTTTCCTGCGAAGCCTTCCTTTGTTTTGCTCTTTCGTTTACCTACAAATATAATGTTTTTATAGAAAAAAACTTAATATTTATAGCGCTCATAAAATTATTTGATTTAAATACAAAATAATTAAAATGTTGAAAAACGAAAATATTTTATGTAATACAAATACAAATACATTTTTCTCTATTTTAGCCGCTTATGAGCGTAAAATTTTTTGTATTAATATTTTTTCCCTACCGTCCATTTCATCGTATACATATTCCATCGAGAAGAACTGACAATAAACTAAAGTTTTTTTATAGCCAGATTTTATCATCGTACTTATGTAGGTGTATCTATCTAATTATCTAATTCACAAATATAGTTATTTTTTCCTTGAAAGAACAACAAACCATTTGACAGCCTCGGTGGTCTAGTGGTTTAGCACACCGCTTTACTATCCGATGGTCGTGAGTCCGATTCCTCTCACGGTACAAACATTTGTATGATTGTTTGTGTCGGTCTGGGTATTTTCTATGTATAATATGTATTTATTTACAAAATAAAAATGTATCCATGTATTTATATCAGTTGTCTAGTACCCATAACACAAGCTCTGCTTACCGTGGGACTAGTGTCAATTGTCCTGAGACATTATTATTATTATTATAAATAAAGGCTAGACAAAGGCTAGACACTCACAAACTTTTGTATTTATAATAGTACATTTACTACTAAACCCTCTCCTCCGCTCGTCTCCCTGGTATGCCAGAGAAAAAAAATATCCCCCTGTCTCGTCTGGTTAAGTTGGTTGACATGAATAACTCGAGATAAAGAGAACGTATAATTTATTCCCCGTTTATTACTGTCGCAGTAAACGTCAACATAAATCTGGACTGAAACTGGAAGTCTAGGACAATGTTAGGTCAGCTGAAAATATCTCGTCCATCCCCACCGCCTATGCCTGGATTTAGGTCTAGACAAACTCGTTCGGAAACCCGTTTTGACACCTCCGTCTCGTCTCGATATATCATTCAAGGTACTGTGTCTTTATTAGAAATACTAGTGCTATACTGCAGTTTTGCGTTAGCTTTTACACGAATTACAACACATTGGGGATTTTTACAATCTTCTAAATATATTTCTGGCGTCTATGGACTACGGTTTACCATCAGATGGGTCACATGCTTGATGTACCTACATAGTTTTTTTTTAAATGATCTTGGCCTGTCTATACTTCAGCAAGTTCTATAATAGAACGTGTATCTAAAGCTGCACTAGAATGTTGTTACGAGAATTGTCTGAGCAAGGAGAGAAACACGAGCGGTGAAGGTGAGTGTTGACTTACGACAAGGGTCCCCTAAAGCTAGGCAGTCCCCCCAATCCAAAGGCCCCGGAGGTGTGCGCGTGTACCCACACGCCTCCACAATGGAGTAGGGCGAAATAGGTCGCCCTAACCACATAACGAGATGGGGCCTGCCCTACAACATCTACAGGGCGGGCCGTCGCCGTCGGAGCTGGGGTAGAAATGCACTTGTGAATCCCCTGGCTCCGGCATAGGCGCTCGTAGGTACACCGTGTGGTTTTTGGTGAGTACAAATCTCACACACCGCCCCGCCCTCCCTCCGGCGGGGTGACGGTCTTTTGAAGATTTTCCACACGTTAAAAAAAAAAAAGGGTCCCCAAAGCTACACCCGGGTTACAAGTCCCGGGAATTGCTCGCAGTTTCCCTCTCTACCACACGAGAATCCATGGACTGCTAAGAAGTTTGTCTCTTTGACCAAGTATCCTATTTTTCTGTAACTGTTCCAAAGAGTAAAAAATATTTTCCACTCTCTGACCAAGTATACTAAATTTTCCTTAACGGACCCAAACAGCAACAATCAATTAAACAAATTACATACTTGCAATTTTTTACAACACATTGATATATTTTATTATATTTGATACATTTACAATTATAATATTAATTGTATAGATTTATCTATACAATTATTATTATTATTATATAGTTCACAAAATAATAATAATAATAATCGGTGACATCTGTGCGAATTGTGAAACTCTTTCTGCAGTTGGTTAGTTAGCGAGAGCACGAACCAGTTGCATCTGTCGACACCTACGCTCTGTCTACTA